ATTTGGCCGCTCCCGCATTTTTGACCTACACAAAAATTACAGGCTGTTCTGCAATCTAGGGGAACGGACGCTTTCTATTTTTTTCAATTTTTTTTTTCGGATTTTCATCGGGAGGCTAGGCAGAGGAGAGAGAGTTGTAATAGTATCTATTCTGGGATTTGCACTAATCGTCTTTCAAACAACTCGACCCTGAGGATGGCCAACTCCTTAAAGTCTTAACGCATTAACGTCACTGATCGAAAACCAACATTTTATAATGTAACTGCTGTCAGGAAATTCCCTTTTTACGAAACGTTTCTTGATCAGCAAAGGTTCCACCAAGGGCATGTATCAATTAATTTATTGACAGAAACAAATAGGAGTTTGTACAATAATAATGCTGCCAGTCCCTTGTAAAGGATACAAACAACTCGCAATGTACATAACCATTAAAGTATTTAACAGGTGCGCATTGTGCTTCCTTCTTTGAGGTTCGTTGCTGCACTAAAACTATTCAAAGCTACTTGTGTTAATAAACATTCTCGGACTCACTACCAACCCTTTATTAGGAGAGGTCCTTCCAATAATTTTTTTGGGTGCGTTCGTATTTTTGGCTTCCGCAATTTTTATTAATAGTACGAATGATGCACGATGTGATTTAACACTGCAGCCCATTAACAGAGTCAGTACGGTTTTTTTTCGGTGATTGAAACACATCTGATCTCACTGGAAGACGAAATAGTGAAAACTAGTGCTAAGTTCTCATAAATTAGCGCCGATGCTCAAACATCTTTATTACGGACATCTCTCTATTACGGACACCTTATCTGTTTCCGAAGACACCAATGTCATTGAAACCTTACCGTTACAACTCGACGCTCACCTTACACTATTTCGGACAGCAGCCAAGTCTTTGGCAAAGGTAAATTACAGACAGTGTCTTGAAATAACTCCATTACGGAATATTGCTAGGGAGATGACAGTAATACAGACACCTCTGTAATGTGCACACTTGGCTCTGTCTCTTTGATATCCTTATTGAGGAGTTGTGACAGTAATACAGACACCTATGTAATGTGGATACTTGGCTCTGTCTCTTTGATGTCTTTATTGAGGAGTTGTGACAGTAATACAGACACCTATGTAATGTGGACACTTGGCTCTGTCTCTTTGATGTCCTTATTGAGGAGTTGTGACAGTAATACAGACACCTATGTAATGTGGACACTTGGCTCTGTCTCTTTGATGTCCTTATTGAGGAGTTGTGACAGTAATACAGACACCTATGTAATGTGGACACTTGGCACTGTCTCTTTGATGTCTTTATTGAGGAGTTGTGACAGAAATACAGACACCTATGTAATGTGGATACTTTGCTCTGTCTCTTTGATGTCTTTATTGAGGAGTTGTGACAGAAATACAGACACCTATGTAATGTGGATACTTGGCTCTGTCTCTTTGATGTCCTTATTGAGGAGGTGTGACAGTAATACAGACACCTCTGTAATTTGGACACTTGGCACTGTCTCTTTTATGTCGTTATTGAGGAGATGTGGCGGTAATACAGACACCTCTGTAATGTGGACACTTGGCTCTGTCTCTTTGATGTCCTTATTGAGGAGGTGTGACAGTAATACAGACACCTCTGTAATGTGGACACTTGGCACTGTCTCTTTTATGTCGTTATTGAGGAGATGTGATAGTAATACAGACACCTCTGTAATGTGGACACTTGGCTCTGTCTCTTTGATGTCCTTATTGAGGAGTTGTGACAGTAATACAGACACCTATGTAACGTGGATACTTGGCTCTGTCTCTTTGGTGTCCTTATTGAGGAGTTGTGATAGTAATACAGACACCTATGTAATGTGGACACTTGGCTCTGTCTCTTTGATGTCCTTATTGAGGAGTTGTGACAGTAATACAGACACCTCTGTAATGTGGACACTTGGCTCTGTCTCTTTGATGTCGTTATTGAGGAGGTGTGACAGTAATACAGACACCTCTGTAATGTGCACACTTGGCTCTGTCTCTTTGATGTCCTTATTGAGGAGTTGTGACAGTAATACAGACGCCTCTGTAATGTGCACACTTGGCTCTGTCTCTTTGATATCCTTATTGAGGACGTGTGACAGTAATACAGACGCCTCTGTAATGTGGACACTTGACTCTTTCCCTTTGATGTCCTTATTGAGGAGGTGTGGCGGTAATACAGACACCTCTGTAATGTGGACACTTGGCTCTGTCTCTTTGATGTCCTTATTGAGGAGGTGTGACAGTAATACAGACGCCTCTGTAATGTGGACACTTGGCTCTGTCTCTTTGATGTCCTTATTGAGGAGGTGTGGCAGTAATACAGACACCTCTGTAATGTGGACACTTGGCTCTGTCTCTTTTATGTCCTTATTGAGGAGGTGTGATAGTAATACAGACACCTCTGTAATGTGCACACTTGACTCTGTCCCTTTGATGTCCTTATTGAGGAGGTGTGGCATTAATACAGACACCTCTGTAATGTGGACACTTGGCTCTGTCTCTTTTATGTCCTTATTGAGGAGGTGTGATAGTAATACAGACACCTCTGTAATGTGCACACTTGACTCTGTCCCTTTGATGTCCTTATTGAGGAGGTGTGGCATTAATACAGACACCTCTGTAATGTGCACACTTGACTCTGTCCCTTTGATGTCCTTATTGAGGAGGTGTGGCATTAATACAGACACCTCTGTAATGTGCACACTTGGCTCTGTCTCTTTGATGTCCTTATTGAGGAGGTGTAGCATTAATACAGACGCCTCTGTAATGTGGACACTTGACTCTGTCCCTTTGATGTCCTTATTGAGGAGGTGTGGCGGTAATACAGACACCTCTGTAATGTGGACACTTGGCTCTGTCTCTTTGATATCCTTATTGAGGACGTGTGACAGTAATACAGACGCCTCTGTAATGTGGATACTTGGCTCTGTCTCTTTAATGTCCTTATTGAGGAGGTGTGGCGGTAATACAGACACCTCTGTAATGTGGACACTTGGCTCTGTCTCTTTGATGTCCTTATTGAGGAGGTGTGGCAGTAATACAGACGCCTCTGTAATGTAGACACTTGACTCTGTCCCTTTGATGTCCTTATTGAGGAGGTGTGGTGGTAAGAAAGACACCTCTGTAATGTGGACACTTGGCTTTGTCCCTTTGATGTCCTTATTGAGGAGGTGTGGTAGTAATACAGACACCTCTGTAATGTGGACAAATCCTTGAAAAGTGCACGCTGGTTTGTCAAAAGGCCATCGTCCGGTTAGTAAAACAGCCAAAGTTAGAGGAAAACCCAGAGCTGCTAAGAGAACATCGGAGAGCGACAAACATGCAATGAATATGTTTGCGGGGTTTCTAAGACGTGGATATTTTATAACTGTCCAACAAACCAACACATTTCCGCTGATAGCGCTGAATAGGTTAATAAAAGTTATTGCTGATTCTATAGCCACTGAAAGCCCGTCTCTATCCTCCAGCTCTTTCTCTAATTCCGCCTTTTGCTGGGAGTACATTGTTGATAATCACGATGTGAATCGTAACGAACTCTCTTCTGTACTACAAAAAATGATAAAGGATTTACACCTGTAGGCCTGAACATACGAAAATTAATGTCACACTTGTTCCTTTTTTATTGACATCCAGCACTCAAGAAAGTCGTGTCCAATGAGTCATTGTCTTTTTTTCACTTTTTTTAATCACCTTCTAGAAAATAGAACATCATTTGTTTGATACAACTTTCACCTCCATATTGCAATGTTAATGAATAATCAGACCGCTTTTTGTTAAATGAAAACAGATTAGTCTTAAATTAATTAAATTATTATTAGTACTACAAAACGAGAAAACATATCAAATATCCATTTCTTACTAAAGCGGCTCCAGCCGGCAAAACCTACCTTGAAGCGACATTGTTTACTCATTGTCGGCGAGATTTTTGATATCCAATCAGTGTATTCCCACTCTTGCCGAAGACAACAAAGAGAGAAATTGAAGGCAATGAACCATTGTGATGAATCTGAAGAAAAGGTTGCCACTTGTCAAAGAAATTTAAAACAAGTATTTTGTTCCTATAATGCAGCGAAAAGGTTCTTTGCGAGCATGGTATTTTTATTAATTTCTTTTTTCTTGCACGAGAAGTCTCTTTTTATGTGGGACTTAGTACATGTTCAATAAACACAGGAACAGCCTTCCGTTTAATTTGCACGACAGCTGCGATGCAATTATTCCCACAATAGAACCTCGGTAACTCGTCGAACTCTGAAGGGAAACGAAATTTAAAACAGTTCAATTTAGCGAGGGTTCGAGTTATCGAGGTCGATTGAAAAATTGAAAGTCGCTGATTTTTCAGCACTAACAGCGGTAACATAATAAGGCATTTTTATTTTAAAACATTGTGATCCGTTCGTTGCAACAATTTTAATCAGATTGACATATTGTTGACAAGTGTTATTTTTAGTGTTTTTACCCCTATACAACAAGAAGAGCTAATAAGATGATGGCATTCGAGTGGAGTTACAAGAACCAGAATTCAAGTTATCGAGGTTAATTTCAGTTCTTCTGTATCTCGAAATCGAGCTAACGCAACTTCTGTCTCTGGGTACTGAGCCCGGGGGTACTGCCATGTATGGGGTATATAGGGATGTGCCACTGTGAAGGGTATGGCTTTCAAACAGTTTACTCTGGGATATGGTATGCAAATCAAACAGTTTGGGTCTAGAATAGGGTATCATTAGTGTAACTTCCCTACAATATTCGAAAATTGAATGTTTCCCGACTTATTCGCCAGGGTTGGTTATCATTGGTAAAAAAGGACCCGTAAAATTTTCGTCTTCGGAAATGAAGGAAAAGGTCTACGAAAGTCTTGGGTTTTCGTAAACTTTTAAATAGCATCTTATATTTAAAGAAAAAAAAGGGAAACCCTTAATAAATTCCCCTGGCAGACCAAACAGATCGAGCCGAAACCAAACCAAACCTGGGGGCAAAAAAAGCGACCT